TCTTGGAAAACAACTTCAAAATAATTTGAAATATGCATGCATGTATGTATTGAGCATAAATTCTTCAATCTTAACTTCATTCGTGTATTTAACCTCTAAATCCTCTTGAATTCAAGCTCTTGTTAGCTTATGCACTTAACTAATAGGTTGAATTCTTACCTTAATTCCTCAATTGGAGTCTAAGTGACCAATCTTATGATCCTCTAAGCTATTTTCCTTTAAGTTTCTTCTAGTTCTCACTCTTTGATCTCAATTCTCTCCTTCTTCCTCTTGATCTCAGTTTCTCTCTCTCTCTCTCTCTCTCTCTCTCTCTCTCTCTCTCTCTCTCTCTCGTTTTGTTGGGCTCAAACTAATGAAGAAGTATGTAAAATGCATTAGAAGTGGTCTTATTTAGGTGTGGTTTAACTTAGGCTAATTAATTGTAATTAGTGCTAATTGATTTATTCTAATTATTTGGTTCCGAATCGAATTCTAGTGAAACTTACCATAAAATTCTAAAATTTCTAAATGACATTTAACCGTAGTCAATTTTGTGTTCAGATGCCAATAAGGCCTTCAATTCGCATACCGAACAGAATTTCAAACAAATATTCCTACCATAGACAGATATAAATACAAATAACACATAACATATGCAATTAACTTAGGATTTCATCTTAATTAGTTGTTAGGCATTCTTAATCAAGGATTATAGGCTAATCACAGGTCAGTGTTGTTACAGTCTTCCCCCTTTTAAGAGTTTGGTCCCCCAAACTTGGGAGACTCGAATTACTTTCATTTAGAGGGAACAAATCTGGCTATCGTTTCATCATATCTTCTGCAGTCTGCCAAGTTGCATATGTCCCTCTGTGATTCTGCCAATCGACTTTCACCAACGTGATTCTTTGTTACTCAATCTTTTGATCCTCCAGTTGACAATTTGAATTGCTATTCTTCATAATTGAAATCATCTTTTAATAACACGTGTGACGATTCAATTACATGTAACGGGTCTCTTAAATAATCTCGAAGCATAGAAACATGGAAAACATTATACATATTCTCCATGACTGGAGGTAAAGCCACTTAATACGTCACCGGATTAATTTTCTCAATGATTTCATATGGCCCAATATACGGAAGAGCCAACTTGCCTTTAACTTTAAACCGTGTCTGGCCTTTCATTAGAGTTACTTTAATGAACACATGGTCATCGACTTCATATTCTCTATCTCTTCTCTAGACATCTGCATAACTTTTTTGACAACTCAAAGTGATTTTCAAACGTTACTGAATTAGTTTTGCTTTCTTAGTCCTCTTTTGCACAAGTTCTGGTCCCAATAACGGTCTATTGCCTATTTTGGCCCAATATATCGGAGATCGGCATTTTCTACCATACAAAGCTTCATAAGGAGCCATACCGACACTTGAATGATAACTGTTGTTGTACACAAATTCAACCAATGGCAAATAAGTTTTCTAATTTCTTTGGAAGTCCAACTCACACATTCATAGCATATCTTCCAAAGTTTGAATGGTCCATTCTCATTGGCCGTTTGTCTATGGATGATAAGCACTACTCAGTCTCAATTCGGTTTCCAAGGCTTGTTGCAAACTTTGCCAGAATCTCAAAGTAAACTTGGAATCTCTGTCAGATACAATACACACTAGCACCCCTTGTAGTCTCACAATCTCATCAATGTAAATGTTAGCCAATTTATCCGCATTATAAAAAGTTTTGACAGGTAAGAAATGTGCGGATTTAGTTAAACGATTAACAATTATCCAAATAGAGTCCATACTTCAAGAGGAGCGAGGCAAGCCAACAATAAAGTCCATCGTAATATGCTCTCATTTCCATTCTGGTATTGGAAGCGGTTGAAGCAATCCAGCGGGTCAGTAATGTTAGACTTTTACTTGTTGGCAATACAAACATTTGGCTACAGAATTAGCAACACATTTCTTCAATCTAGGCCACAAAAAATTCTGTTTCAAATCATGATACATCTTTGTGTTTTCTGGATGTATAGCAAATCTGGAGCTGTAAGCCTCAATCATAATGCTTCCTTAGTTCAGAACAATTTGGTACACGGTCTACCTTGAAATTTCAATACATTGCCCTCAAACACAAATCCTGGTCTTGGTTTTGTTTCAATCTCATTAACAATCTTTTTCAGAAATTCATCTTCTAGTTGTTTTTCTTTAATTTCTTCGATGATTGCTGGTTATATAGAAATGGCAGCTAAGATTCCACCATGTTCACGTAAGACAATCTCAATTTCATTTATGTCTAAGTCACACAATAATTCTTTCTGACCGGTGAGCAAACTTGCCAAATTCCCAATGGATTTTCTACTCAAAGCATCTGCAATGGTAGTTGCCTTTCCCGGATGATACAGAATTTGCAAGTCATAATCTTTAATCAGTTCAAGCCATCTTCTTTGTCTCATGTTCAGTTCTTTCTAAGTGAAAAAATATTTCAGGCTTTTATAATTAGTATATACCTCACAAATTGTGTCATACATATAATAGCGCAAAATTTTTAGTGCAAACACCGCAGCTGCAATCTCAAGATCATGGGTTGGATAATTCTTCTCGTGAGGTCGGAGTTGGCGAAAAGCATAGGCAATTACCTTACTGTTTTGCATTAGCACATACCCCAATCCTTTATATGAAGCATCACTATAGATTTGGAGCAGAGTTAGAAATGGTGTAGTCACTAATCTGGTTTTCAATTCTTGGAAGGCAAACTCTCTTTGGTCATTCCAATAACACGGTGCATTTTTCTGTGTTAACTAAGTTAATGGCATAGCAAATTTGGAAAAGTTTTTCACAAATCTGCAGTAATAGCTAGCAAATCCCAGAAAACTTCTAACTTCTGCCACAATAGTCAGTCTTGGTCAGTTCACAATAGCCTCATTTTTTGTGGGTCAACGGATATGCCGTCCTTATTGATCACATGCCCCAGAAAAGTCACATTGTCGAGCCAAAATTCACACTTAGACAGTTTCACATACAATTTCTTTTCTCTCAAAATCTATAGCATGGTTCTCAAATAACTCTCATGTTCTGCCTTGCTTCTAGAATAAATCAGTATATCATCAATAAACACAACAAACTCATCAACAAATTATTTGAAGACCCTATTCATGAGATCCGTGAAAGTGGCAGGTGCATTCGTCACCCCAAATGACATTACTAAAAATTCATAGTGCCCATATCTAGTCCGAAATACAATTTTCTCTATATCTTCAGCTTTGACGTTTAGTTGATGATACCCAAATCTAAGATCTATTTTAGAAAACACTTGGGCTCCCTGAAGTTGGTCAAACAAATCATCGATTCGGGACAGTGGGTATTTGCTTTTCATAGTCACTTTGTTCAATTCTTGGTAGTCTATGCACAATCTCAAGGTCCCATCTTTCTTTTTGAGAAATAAAATTGGAGCACCCCAAGGCGAAGTGCTCGGTCAAATAAACTTGTTGTCTAATAATTCTTGAAGTTGGACTTTCAATTCTTCAACTCATTTGTGGACATTCTATATGGGGTTTTAGAAATCGGTTGTGTTCCAGGTACTATCTCAATGGTAAATTCAATTTCCCTATCTATCAATTCTCCTGGCAATTCATTAGGAAACACATCAAGAAATTCATTGACTATAGGGATATTTTCCACATTAGTACTATCTGCAGGCATAGTTAATACACAACACAAGTAATCCCGACAACCCTTTCTCAACAGTTTATTGGCTTTCATAGAAGAGATCAAATATGAAAGAGGAATTACACCATTCCCAACAAACACAAACTCAAACCCTGATGGCCGAAATATAACAAATTTAGCAACACAGTCAATGGTGGCATGGTACTTTGTCAACCAATCCATACCTAATATATAATCAAAATTATCAATATTTAAGGGTAGCAAATCAACATATAATAGCACATCACTAATCACAACATCATATGCCGGTTATAGCGCATAACATAGAACCCCCAGATGGTGCAGATACAGATAATAGATAATTCATAAGTTCTAATGGTCTAGTCGATTTTCGAGATAAAGCATGCGACACAAACGAATGTGTAGATCCCGAATCTATCAACACATGCATTTTGGGCACAGATAGGAAGTATATCTGACACCACAAATTCGGTATTCCGAACATCTCCTGGCACAAGTGCAAACACTCTCCCTTGCCTTAAGGTTTCTTTTTCCATATTGGTTCTTGTATTTGTTCTCGACACAGAAGCAGATCCGACTAAACTTGCCACAGCGCGGTTAGTAGTTTCGTCTATGAGTGGACAATCTTTTACCATGTGGCCAATCTTGCCGCACTTGAAGCAAACACTTGTAGTACGATAACATACTCTCTTGTGTTTTCTTTCACATTCAAAATAGGTAGATATAGATCCACTACTTTGACTTGAGCTGCTTGTAGATTCCCTTATTTTGTTTCTTTGAAAATGACCGACCCTTTCTAAAATTGAATACATACCGTTTGCCTCTCCATTAAGTTGTTGGGGCTTTGGATTGTTTCATGGCTACTAAATTAAGCCCTCCTTCAAAATTTTGAACTTTCTTGTAGTCCGCATAAACCATGTGAGGTGAAAATCAGGCTAACTCGGTGAACTTAGCCTCATACTCTGCCATTGACATACCTCATTGCTTTAATTGCTCAAATTCTAACACTTTTCGGTCTCGAAAGCATTGAGGGAAATTATTTTCATAAAAAATCTCTTTAAATTGATTCCATGTCATAGCCCCATTATTATTTGGGATCAACATCCACCAACGCCTACCTTCCTCCTTTAGTGTGTAGGTTGCCAGCAAAACCTTCTGAGCTTCAGAACATGGAAACACTTCAAATAATTTTTCAGTTTCTAGTATCCAGGTTTCAGCTTTCAGTAGCTCCATACCACCTAGAAATTTGAAGGTTTCATCTTGTTGAACTTCTGAGTCAACCCGAAAATGTCATTATTTATCGGTTCCACTTGCACCGAAGAAGGCGGAAGAGGTAGTTATTGTCTCTGTTGTTGTCCCATGGACTCAGTCAAAGCTTCTAACATTCTTTCCATTCGGTCCATTTGGGCATCAGAGGATTCAGTCACATTATCACTTCTTGTTCTCTCCATTTGCTATAGGTAAATAGGGCACTAATAAACATAGGCAAATAGTTCTTTTCACGGTATTCATAATAATCGGTTTCATTTCATGCTACACATATTCACATGTCCATTTCAGTTAAGATATGTTCATATATTTATCACACACACTCACACATGCAGATGTAATGTCCCTAATTCTTTTCTAGGACATCTTATAGCTCCTATGGACTCGTGTGCGTGGTATAACACGTGCTCTGACACCACTTTGTCACGACCCAAACCGGTCCTTATAGGTTTAGCATCGTAACCGGCTAGTAATCTTAGAATTATCAAAGGCCTCTGAAATAGTTCAACAAAATAAGGGGCTAGCAGAAGCAAATACAATCATAAAATGTCCACAGAGTTGTGCAGACATACATGGGATAGAAAATTTAAAGCTTCTATTTACATATATGATGTCATCCTCACATTAGCCTTACGTCGTCTTATATATAGATGAACCAAAATAGGACGTAGCCCAATATACAAAGGATACAAAAACTTGATCAGACCAAAACAAAATAAACAAAAGTCTTAAACTTAGTTCACAAAATTTGACCACTTTAAGCATTCTGGGAACCTTCTTAGGAGGCGCACAACTTGGCTGACACAAAGTAGATCCAGTTAGCAACTTAGGTCTGATCATGCGCCTGATCACTTACATACATAAATAATACAGTGAGTTGTAGCCATGTGAATAACAACAGAGTAAAGGGTTTATGAATGATGTCCATCACAGATTCAGAAATTAGAGTTCATGTCAAAAATAGATTCAGATTCACATAGTTATACATATTTCGCAATACGTGGTACATCCATTACCTACAGACCACTTGGTCATAAAGACCCACATTCACTTGAGATGGTCACAAGGACCCACTTTCACTTGAGATGGTCATAAAGACCCATTTTCACTTGAGATGGTCTTTTAGATGAGCCACTTTCACTTGATAAAGACGGTTATGCATAACCAGTTCCATACATGGAACCCACTCAAAATCATGGTACCAGATTACCTATATCACACGAACACTTGATGCAAAGGATGCCGCGAATACATTTCAAAAAACTGGACAATCATTCATGATTCACAAATAGCATTTCAGAGAACAAATCATATCACATTGTTTAGAAAATACTTAAGTTCAAACATAGCTTTACAGAGTCACTACTCACAGATAGCTCTAGAGGTAGAACAGATCACTTGCACAAAGCAGATCGATCAAGCGGGTGTTAACATGTGACCTACAAACACGTGACAGATACATTTGAACACACATGCCATTGGTGCTAAACTTATTATTCTTCTTTCTTAACGTGTGTTTCTAACTCTTATCCTCAATATTGTTGCTTAATCATAGCCTAGGAATGCCTAGGATGCAATGAGGATGTAAACATGTACTTTGAAAACACTTGCAAAATTTTAGAAAAACAAGGCAGTTCGCTCAAGCGCAACTTTGTTCTCTCGAGCGGTCTATTAATCCAGGTTCTATACATTAAAAACACGATCAATTTAGGCCAATTGGTATGAAATGTGATGAATTTCCAAAACCAAGTTGAAACTATGACATGCATGAGAGAATTCTTGGAAAACAACTTCGAAATAATTTGAAATATGCATGCATGTATGCATTGAGCATAAATTCTTCAATCCTAACTTCATTCATGTATTTAACCTCTGAATCTTATAGAATTCCAGCTCTTGTTAGCTTATACACTTAATTGCTTGATTGGAGTCTAAGCGACCAATCTTATGATCTTTCAAGCTATTTTCCTTCAAGTTTCTTCTAGTTCTCACTCTTTGATCTCAATTCTCTCCTTCTTCCTCTTGATCTCAGCTTCTTGCTCTCTCTCTCTCTCTCACGTTTTGTTGGGCTCAAACTAATGAACAAGTGTGTAGGATGCATTAGAAGTGGCCTTATATAGGCTTGGTTTAACTTAGGCTAATTAATTGTAATTAGTGCTAATTGATTTATTCTAATTATTTTCTTCCGAATCAAATTCTAATTAAACTTATCATAAAATTCTAAAAATTCTAAAGAACCCTCTGTCATGACCCAAACCCGCTCCTAGAGGTTTAGACCATAACCTGCCAGTAATCTGTAGATTACCGAAGGCGTCATACGAACATACAAAATATTTATACTAATGGGGCCATAAGCGGAAGCTATCACAATAATGCAATTCCATTGAGTTGTGCCAATATGATAAAAAAATATACATACTTTGCTTATCTCAAAACACATCCATACAGTCATACGCCCATATAAAACTTACATACAATAAACTCCATACATATAGTTTACATAACCCAAGACTATTGTAACAAAATCAAACAAAAGTGAATGGAATGCAAGTCAAAGGCACAAGCTCCATCTTAGAGACTCGACCAACAAGTTCACAAAAACAACTCCTGAAGTAGACTCTAAGGTCGAGCTCCATGCTACTGATCACCTACATATGCATACATAATATAGAGCGAGCGAAGTTCAATGAGTAATAATACAGTAAAGAGATAAAAATGAATCAGCATAAGTCTCACACAATATTCATAATCACATTACAGAATGGCCTCAAGCCCAACATAATACAGAATGGCCTCAGGCCCATCATATAAATAGAACGGCCTTAGGCCCATCATATAAACAGAACAGCCTTAGGCCCATCATATAAATAGAACGGCCTTAGGCATAACATAAAATAGAACGACTTCAAGCCCACATTTAATATAGAACGGCCTCGGGCTTACATATTAACAGATGTTCAGAACGACCTCAGGTCTAATAACATGATATCATATCATTAACAGAACGGCCTCAGGCTCACACTTGGTACATAATGGCCTCGGGCCCAAACATATCATACATGATCTTAGGTCCACATTGCATATGTCATATAACTTTCATAAACCCATTCATTTCGTTCAAAACCCAATATCGAAATAAATCATTGTTCATAGCTCAAAGTAAGTAATTGAAAACATATATTTACAATACTATTACTTACAGTGCATTTGGTCTTGCGGTGTTGCATTCAGCACACGACTTGCACAAACATTTCATATACACATTCGATAAATAATTCGTTTCATTCATACACTTTTCTTTTAATAGTTCACAACCTTTCAATGGGTTTCTTGCCATCATTTTACTTCCTAAGGGGTCTAAATAAGGTTGAGAATGCGTTCAAAGGGTCGGAAGGGTCAATACAAGAAAACAACATTTTCTCCTCTATTGGCCGCTCAAGCGGTCATGCTTCACTCATGCGAAAATGTTGGCCGCTCGAGCGAGCAGAATGTTGTTCCCTATTATTGTTCATGCTCCGCTTGTGCGGAGCTCGCAACAGCACGAGTGATCTGGGCAAAAACCGAACAGTTCGAAATGAGCTTCCAACCCCAAGTGACCTGTCATGACCCGAACCCGCCCCTATGGGTTAAGGACATAACCGGCCAGTAATCCTGAGATCACCTACGGCCTCAAAACAAAACATGATGATTTGTCAGAGTAAAGGGGCCAGACAGAAGCAATAATTAAAAACTTTGTCCATAGAGCCGTGCTTATATGCACATCAACCAAACCATATTCAGATACGTTAATAACCCACATCAAATATACAGTTTCACAAAATTCATTACAGACAGGATCATTCAAAACGAGCCATCCTATAACAGACTATTTACAGATATACACTAGGCCCTTGCCAACAAGACAAAACATAAGTACATGGCAAAAAGGCAAGGTAGGTCTTAAGAGTGAGACACAAGGCTGACTCCCTCAAAACTCGGATTTTCCTAGCAGGCTTCACTGGGGCTGGGTTTGTGCTTCTCTTGGCTCACCTACAAACACATGAATGAGCGTGAGCGATAGCCCAGTGAATAATATCAAATATGACAGTTACATAACAATATGTAGAACAATATACTCCAAACGGCCTTGGGCCCAATTCATACTTCTAATTAGCAATTATATATGACTATATGAAATGCAAATCAAGTAACTATAGTTCCAACATTCTGGCCTTTGGCCCATTCGGGTTTCATGTCATGACAAAACGCCTTCGGCCCATTCAGTTATGTCAAACGACCTTGGTCCGATCTTCATTTATATCAAAACGACTTGTGCGTCCTTCATTCTTATCTAACACGACCTTGGTCCATTCATTCTTATCAAAACGTAACCCTTCGGTCCCATTATTTATATCAAAACGACTTGGTCCATTCATTCTTATATCAAAAGATCCTCTGTGTCCATTCATTCTTATATAACATGTGACCCTTGGTCCATTCATTCTTATCAAAAACGACCTTCTCGTCCATTATTATATCAAAACGCTTTTAGCCTATTCATTCATTATTAGAAACGGCTTTCGCCTATTCATTCATATCAAACGCTTTTTCGCCTTATTCATGCTCATATTTAAAACGGCTTTTCGCCGATTCATCATATCAAAACGGCTTTGAGCCACAATCCCAATTAACAACTCAAAGGTTGATAAGAGGAGATAAACTAATTGAGACATTGACAAGCTGTCGAATGTTGATATTACATCACTAGTGATCGGCTTGGTGATTTGCCTGGATCCTTGACCCTACACCTTATAGAACACAAAGGGTCATTAACAGTCAATCCGTTCCTTAATCTCACATATTCGCTCTTTAGTTTTATTCTTATCTATCAACTGCATTTATTCAGCTTAACATATGCTAAGCAGTGCTATAAGTGAAAGAGAATGGAAAACGAAACACGTGAACGCATGACAAATATTTTCAGAACAGGGTCCCCGCTCGAGCGTCAACTTATCCGCTCGAGCGGACCCTTAAGGCCTGCAAAAGTACTGGTTGCATGAAAATTACGCTCGAGCGTGGAATAGAGCGCTCGAGCTGAAGGCCTGTCTACAAAACTCCACGCTCGAGCGTGAGGTTTCCCGCTCGAGCGGACATCCAACTCTGCAAAATGCTGGGAGCACGATTTTCCCGCTCGAGCGGCCATTAC